GATGCATCTTCAGCACTTTCTGGTGAACAAATCTAAATAATAGAATTTTCATAGTATATTACAATAAATTTATTCTAAGAAAAAAAATATTCTACCTTTTCTGGATATCGTTTTTCTGATGGATTTATTTCATGATCCGTATTATTTTCTTCATCATCTTGACGTCGACGATTTTCTTTTTCAATTTGTTGTTGCTGTTGCTGTTGTTGTTGTTGTTTTGCTTTACGATTTAATTGTTGTTTTAATGATGGTTGTACAACAGATGGTATATCCATACCACGAAGATCTTCATCAGATATTTCATTTGGATCATCATCTTCATCATCATCATCAATATCCATTTGATCATCAGGAAGAACAATTGTTTTTGAATTATTAATTATAAAACCTGAACCAGATGTTGGACGTTTTGTTGGTGTAGATAAATCTTCAGGTGTATACATCTTAATAATAAAGATTAATATTTTCTTATTTGATTTCTTTCTTTCGTTTTTACCTGACTTAAATTTGAATGTACATTAGTTACTGTTTCATCATCATCTGATTCTTCTTGATTATTAGCAGGTGTACCACGTTGAAAACGTTGACGATGTTGCTGAAAATAAATTGTCTTTTTCTATGACAAAAAAATAATTTAAAAATGTAAATATTATATTTACCATTAAGACTTCTCGAGGAATTAAATGTGTATCATTTTCTGATTCATCATCATCTTCATCATCATTACTTGATGTTGGTTCAGCTAGAAAAATAATTTGAAAATTTTTTAAATTTATTTTGTATTTTAATAATTAAACCTGCTCGATTGAATGGTGTTGTTCGTCGTGCAACTGCAGGATTATTACGTAACTGTTCATCATTATTTTCATCTTCATCTTCATCATCTTCATCATCAGTCCATTCATCAGTAGCAGCATTTGCATTTGTTGTATCATCATTCTTTTTATCTGGACGTAGAACATATCCCGATGATGGATTTGATTTAAGTATATTTTGTGAAGGAAATTCTTTACATTTATTAGCCATTAATTTAAGAACATTTTGTTCAGTTAAAGGTTGTTGTTGAGGTGATTCAACAATAATTACTTCTTCAACTGAATCTTCATCAACTGCACTAACTTTACCAGATTGTTGTTGTTGTAATGGTGGTTTTTTAACAGCTATTGGTCGAGACATCGTCGGAGGAGATGAAGGAGATGTTTGACGAATTAAATGAGGTGTATTTTTATGTTGTATTCGAGCTAAAATCAAAATTTTATATAGTATATGTAAACAAACATGAGTAAATCTTGTTATCATACCTCGATGTCTAATCATGGCAATATTTTTATTTCTATCGATTCTTTTCAATGGTGATAATTGTTGTCGTTTTAAAGTTTTTTGATGTCGAAGAATATTTTGCATATTCAATGAATTTCTCTGATGAAATTTTTGTTTTAAAACTAATTCATGTTGTTTTTTATTTTGTATAATTGTATTTGATGAACGAATTAATTGACTCCAATAAGATTTTGTTAATATACTTATTAATGTTAATGTTGATTCAGTATATTGTGAACGATCACTTCGACCAATTAATTGTAATAAATGATTAAGTAAATGTATATTTAAATTTTTTTGTCCTAAATTCATTAATAAATCTAATATATGTCGACTACAATGTGTTAATGATACACATGACCATATTAAATCAATATGTTCAACAGTTAAACGATTATTTGATGCTAAAAATATTAATATTGTTAAACATTGTTTAAGTAATTCTGTATGTAGATTAGGACCAAATAAATAATCAATTATTTTATTTTCAATAATCCAATTGGATAATTTACGTTCATGATGATTATGTGATGAATATTCTTCATTGTCATCTGTTGAACTAGCTGATGATGATGATGCATCATTTGTTAATTTTTGTGTTGTATCATCTTCACCATCGGATTCACTAACAGTAAATATTTCTTGTGTTGTTGTATTAGGATGAGAACAACAAGACGCGGCTGCAGCTGCGGCTGCTGCTGCTGCCATAGATTGATGACGACGATATGATGTATAATCAAGACATTGTTGAATTTGATTTGTTATATGTGATAAACCTGTTAAACGTATAGTTAATGTTGAACATGTTAAATATTTTAATGCTAATGTTAACATTAAACGATCAAAATGATAACGTTGAAATTGTATTGTATGATGATGTTTATTATTATATGGTGATAAAACACTTGTTGATGATGTTGAACGTTGACGAAATGTTGTTGTTAAAAATAAATCTTTTAATGATGCATATAATAAATCATTTGTATTTTTTTGTCCACATAAACGTAGTTCATTATCAGATAATAAACACATATAACGTATTGCATGTGGACGAATTGGTAAAAGAAAATTTTTGATAATATCTAAATGAATACGAGATATTTATAATATTCAAAACAATATTTATTAATAAGGATTTGATAATACAGATTTATACCGGAACTACACCTCTTATCTTTTTTTTTAATTAAATTTTCTTCCATACGAAAGTTTAAAAGATGTCAATGAGTAGGACACTCGAAATATTTCTCAGAGAATCTTAATGATTAAATATTATACCTATATTTAAATGATGACGTAAATTTGTTAAAATAACAAATAATGCATGAGCTATTGATAATGGTAACATTCGAGTATTTTTAGCTGATTCAAATACTTGTCGTATAACAATTAAACCACGATTTTCACAAAATGAACATATATGTCTATATAAATAGAGTGATACATGATGAGAATCATTATTTCCATTTGTATTATTTGATGATAAATTTAAATGACAATATGATGATAAAAATGTTTTGAAATCTGCTGATGCATGTTGCATTTGATAATAAGCAACATGATGTGCTAATGATGGATTACGATGTGCAGCTGTATATATTGGTAAATTTAATGTAAAACAACGAGCTACACATAATAATAAACGTTCTTTTTCTTCTAATGTCCATTGACGATATTGACGTTGTTGTTCTTGATCTGTTGTTGTTAATATACTGCAAATTTGAGATGAAGAATCTATTTCAGTTGATTGATTGAGAATATCTTCATCGGATAGATTATCAGTTATTGTAAATGTTTGTAATAGATTGATTATATATAAAAGTAGCCACTCAACAAGAGACGAAAAACGTTCGATTGTTGTTGCATCACGACATAAACATGCACATCGACTAGAAGAAATTTTTTTATTAAAATATTTTCGAAACAATATTCTCATACATTGATCAATGATCTACTATACAACACATACGGATTATCTTGTAAAAATAGTTTATCTATCTCAATGCTACGAACTGAAATATGGATTTTCCCACAAGTTACAATGACTTACTCGAAGAATTACGTATATACATACATTACTTCTGCAATGACTGATCAAAAATATTTTATTCAAATTACTGTAACGTATACACCTGAGTTTTCTTTTTCTCGTAATTTGATACATATCTTAACTTAACTGTGTATTTATCTAAGTTGAAATCTTGAAATATTTTATCAAATAGAAAACTTACGTTTGGGGCCAATTACTAACAAATGAAACAAACGTGCAAATATCATCTTTTTGAAGATCAATTGCTTCGATCAATTCTAATGACGAGTCTAAATATAAAATATATTTTAATAATACAAACGTTTTCTAGCAAATATTTCTTTACATTTTTCCAATATTGGTAATAATGTGCTACAAAGAGCACATGGTGGTTGCATTGATACCGAATGATACGTTATAAAATCTAGAAATTATTGAAAATGTATAAGAATTTTCTCGAAATGAAAGGTTAACACGTGCGAATGACAGCTGATTTCTAGAATGTAACTTCCGTTTTTAATCAGATGAGATATTTCGATATTAAAAGATAATCTTAATGTAAATTGAAATAAATTGAAAAAAAGAAAAGAAACTTCTTATTTTAAAACTGTCACCAAGTTGACGGTATTTGTTTGTTGAATAGACAAAGAAACTCAAAGTTGAACAACGTTATCTGAGAATACGGTAAACTATATAACAAGAAATTTAATTCTTGATTAGTTTATTTATTAACCATTCATATTTAAATATAATTGAGGACAAATGTATTTCATTAGATAAATTATTCTTTTAGACGATTTAAACTTTTATTTTTATTTTTTCCTTTAATTTTCAAGATAAATATTATAGAAAATATCTGGGAATAAATATAATTAGTGACATCTATAAGCGCGACTTGAATGACAATTGTAAGTTTCCATCATAAAAGATCTTTTTTTTTAAAAGATGATTACAACAACGACACATCTAGCATCACGATCATTTCAATCGATCATGAACGAGGAAACTTTATGTGATGATGTAACAACATTAAATCAAAATTCATCATCATCAATATTATATCGTAAATTTAATATCCATTACATTAGTCAAGAATATATTATTCGAAGTAAATTTTGTGAAGAAAACATTTTTAATTTTATTCAATTTTTTTATGATTTAGAAGAAAGTTCTTCGCAAATGATTAAAAGTCAATCATTTGATCCAGAAGTAGTAATATCGGATAATACAAAAATTCAACCAGATAGTCCTGGATCATTAAATAATCTTGTTAATATAACACCAAAAAATATTGCAGTAATTGAATTAATTACATCGGAACAACGATTCGTCAATGATATGAAAAGTATTTTAAAAGTAATATAACATTTGTTTCAATTCTTTACTTTGACTGATGATATGAGGATAATGAAATCCATACACTAGTAGTGAAAACTATAAATAGATTTCTCGCAAAATTACAATCAGAATCAGGGTAGCTTATTTTACTGTCATATTTATCTTGAGGGTGCATCTTTTCTAGTTTTACTGTATATTGAGACATTGACATGACTATCGGTATTTGTTTCTACACTATACTTGTCTACAAATATATTGATGACAATTTTTTTAGACATATATAACACCAATGTTGGAAAATAATATTTTATCCTCATCTCATATCGATGCACTTTTTCTTAATTGGCCAAGTTTAACACGTACTCATGAAAAACTTGCTAAGTAAAAATAAATATTATAGTTTCAATCTACTGATCGACATCATGTTTTTCTTTTATAGAACATTAATAACTGCTTTAAAAACTGATGGAGAACAAATATCTATTGGAAAAATTTTATGTCAATTTGTAAGTAAAAATAAGTTCTCGAACATTTTTATTTTTCATATAAACTAGATTCCCGAATTAATTGCTGAATATGAAGTTTATTTTCGTTTTCATCCAACAGCAATGAAATGTTTTCGTGAACAACTTCATATTTCTCCAAAATTTTGTGCTTTTATGCAGGTAATACAATACTAATTCTCTACTTTATTTTCAATAGATTACTTCTCTTTTTTTTGTATTAGAAAACAAAAGAACATAGTTATGGAATAGGTACAATGGGTGATGCGAATATTTTAACATTACCATTACAACGTATTGCTAAATATCCATTTATGATTTATCAAGTATAAACAAGGCGATTTCTCTTTTATCATCAAAAGTCTAAAATTATTTTAAATAGATTCTTAAGAATTCATCAAATGATTCTGATGATTTTGATCAATTACATAATTCATTAAAGAAAGCTGATGAATTACGTGAAACAATAAATAATGCTATTGACGAAGAAATTAATCGAACAAAATTTGAATGGTTACAGAAACATGTCGATTGTACAAAAATTTATGAAGTAAAACTTTGCAAAAAAAAATAATTACTTAATTTATATTTACGATTATCTAGACGATTATATTCAATTCATTAACTCATTTTGGTGATCAAAGAAAATTAATTCATTATAATCATATACGTTTGGTAGAATTTATTTTTCCTGAAAAAGTATTTTTAATTTTTGTTATTTGTTTTTGGTAGACAAAATCAACAAATAATCTGTTTTATGCGATGTTATTTAATGATTTTTTACTTTTAACTCGTACAAAACGACCTTTAATTACAAAAATGTTTCGAATTATTAATCATACGATGTTTCATCAATGTCGACAACAAAATGAATCTTTTCCTAAACTATCAACAAGACAATCGGATATAGATTGGTTTGATTCACCTGATGCAAATTATCTTTATTTAATTGTGTATAAAAAAGTAAATTTTAATACTCATAAAAAAAGAGAAGAAAATAATAGAAAATTTATTTAGCCGATCATGTTACATGAAATTCAAAATGTACGATTGCTTGAAAATGATTCAACTGGTTTTCAATTTGATTATCGTGGACGTCAAATAACTCTATTTGCTAATAGTATTAATGAAAGGTTAAAAATATTTCGATAAAATTTTAATTTAATCGATTGTCTCATATAGATTTTTATGGATAAAATGTATTAATGATGCGATTCATATTTGTAGCCAACGACGTTTACTTACTTCAATGTTTCGCACACCGGAATCTAGTAGATATTACTCCTTTTTACTTTATAGTATATAGATTGATCTATTTAGATTTAAATCCAGTTGTTTGTCGACCGATTGGAAAAGTCTTTATTCGAGAAATCAATGCTATGAACTTGCCCATAACATCTATGCAAAAGAATGGTGAGTTTAAAATTGTTAACAAGATTTTGAATATTAACTTACTGTAAAAAGGAACAAAGTCAGGTTGAGAGATTTTAGATTACATACAGGGCAGTTCAAAGGAAGATTGTCTGAAAAATGAGTTTTTACGAGTGATCTATTTGAATTGTAATGCTTTATCATGTTATTTTCAGAGTGTCAGTAATTTCGTTCTAAGTATTGATTTCGGTATTTCTCACAGATTTTATCTGTTTCGACTTTCTTTGGATTAAATTCATGTTTTTAGGAAATAATCCATATTGTATAATCGAAATGAACAATAGTCAACGTCAAACAACACCTGTTCATTGTGATACATCGAGTTTACAATGGAATATTTCATTTCAATTCTTTGTTTGTGATATTAATAAAGATATTATTAAGTGTTTTATCTATAATCGATCTAAATATACAACAGATCGTAAGATTATCCGAGTTTCTGTGAATTTTTTTCTTATATTTAATTATTTAAGGTCTTCTTGGTTCAGTAGATGTTCCTTTAACATTATTAACTGAACGTCGAATTCAACAAGAAGATTCGTCATCGACTTATTCATTAGCAACAAGTAATTTTAGTGACATGTCATCATCAAATTGGAAAACTCGTACACTTTATCTTCAACATTCATCGAATAATTCACAAATATCTATAAAATATCTTGTTTGTTTCAATGAATAACAAAACAATCTCTTCGTTTTATCCGTTTTTTGTTGTAGTCGTATGAAACTTCTCTTATTATGCTTCCCTTTTGTTTTGCTATAAATATTGTTTTTGTGTTTGATTTCATTATGATTGCATTATTATGTCTGATTACTTTTCTTTCTTTTTTAACATCTAGTTACTTCATTTATGCTTATATATCTAAAAACATTACTGAAATTAAATTCTATGATTTTACTTCTTATCTATAACCATATGTGTGGCTAATTGATTGTTAGGATATTCCTACGTTTATTTGTACATCAATAAATATTTGTACACGATTCGTATGAATCGTTTCTATAAAAGTAAACACTTATATCTAATATTTATCATTGCTATTTTTACGTAAGCGATGTACAAGATACTAGCGTGGGTGTGGGTGTGAGAAGAGTGTAACATCCACATCCGCACTCAAGATGGTTTTTTCACAAAACGTTTTAATTAATGAAAAAATATAATAAGAAAACCGGTCATTTTTTATGCCCCATCTGCTAGTTAGATTATTAATTAGAATTGTTATGTCTAAATGAACTTAATACATTTCGATTTTGTTATTTATTTCAGAAATATGAAAAGAGAGTCAGATTGATAATTATATTTGCTTGAGTATTTGTATTTGAGTATTTTTTTTCAAATTTGCGCAATCATTCATCAAGGCCACATCCTGTAAAAGAAATAGAAAGAAAATTACTTTACAATTAACAATCTTCTTCTCTTCTCGTTCTCACTTGTATAAGGTCGAATAGTAAAATTCGAGATACGTAAATGATTATTGCCCCATGCCCAAAAACCTAAATAGGGTTTATTAAGTAATTGAACTGCATTACTAGTTAAATTTTTCCAAATAGTATTTTCTGCAACTATGATATGTTCACCATTTGATTTGATGATAATCTTTAGATGATTCACTGGTTCTTTCTTTTGCAGTAATAATATGTTTGAGTCGTCTGGATACCGTCCTGTTTGATAAAATCTATAACCACGATCACGGGTACGATCAATCCAATCAACACCTGTATTACCATCTGTTCGTCTGTCGAAGGAATGATTACCATAGTAAATACCACCATGACGTCCTACACCATCATATGGGTTCGTCAAAAATTTCATATCAAATTCTAAAACTTGGTTTGATAATGATTTTGTTGTTGGTAATTTCAGTTGTTTAAATGGCACAGCACATCCACCTTCAGATAAATGTGTAATTATTTCTAAAACATCATTCGATTTAATTACACATTTTGTTAATGAATTGCCAACAACTGATACATCTGACAATTTAACCTTTGTAACATCATTTAATATTGGTTCTAAAATGTAGTAAAAGAATTAGGATAGATGCACGTGAATTCCTCAAAGAAATTAAAAAAAAACTTATTATCTGCGATCGATCGAAGGATAACTGATAATGATGGTAAACCTAACATCAATCATTACATCCTTTCCATATTATGTATCAAATTAATGCTTATCAAAAGCTGTATGTATAAATGTCTTGAACTATATGGCTAATTGAGCTCATACTTTACCGTTTTCATAAAAAATAAATATCTAGAGATTCAGTTTTTGGTGGAGATCATGAATCTATCATTGTTTTGTTTATGAAAATCATAAAATACGAGCTCATTTTGCCATATGATTTATTGTGTATATGAGAGAAGTATCTATAATTACGTTACTTGTCAATGGAAATTGAGATGATTCTGTTTGAACTGTTGATATGGATGTCATATGTGATTGATTTTCTTTTAAATTTATAATAACAGTAATATTAACCTTTGATAATAGTATATATAAAATTGTGATCACAATGATACATGATACCAACTTTAAACCTTTAGAAGTAGAAGTTTTAAAGTTTGTTGGAATACTTTTATGTGATGGTTCTAATAAGAAGTCGTCGTCTTGTATCTTCATCATTGAATAAAAACAAGAAGTGAAGAAAAACTGTTTATACTTTTTTTACGCTATCAATAAAGTTGTTAGCATGTATCACAGTTAAATAAACGACAAATGAAGAAAAAACACTTTTTTCCTGAACTTAAAATAAAGTGTACCCAGAGATGTCCACAGAGGCGCCATCGCCGCGACGGCGAAAGTAGAAGTCTTCTGGCTGCGAAGAACATCTTTGAGTATTCGTCATTTATTACGGCTACGTAAAGGATAGACGAAGAAAGAAAAATTATTCTTTTCCTGACTTGCAGTAAAGTGCTCCTCGTTTATCTTTCTCGTTAATTTAGAAAAAAAGAACAAAATAATAGTTCTTTTTATCATGCTCTTGCAAAGAGAAAATATGAGTTTCCATGCAAAAAAAGACAAAACACCTGTTTGAATTGTTTTTTTTTGTGTGATTAAAAATTGATTAAAATCGTACGATTATCATATGTTAAATGATTATTAACAAAAAGCATAAAGATTAATACAATAACACTGAATAATTAATTTCCAAGAAAAAAAAACAGAAGCAACTACATATAATAAACGAAAAAAAAATGTCATTTTTATTCACCAGTTAAAATTTCTCTCTTATACTAGCAAGAAACTCGTCTTTGTACGTTTCTGAAGGTAATACAAATACTACAAAGATAAGTAATGGTGGAACAAATGAAACGTAATAACCAGCAAGAAAAAGCCATGGATTGCGAGCACTCTCCATACATTGAGATAGAAGTGATATTATTAAACGAGGAACAGCTAATAACATCAAAATACATGGAGACATTAATATATGTTTGTGTTGTTTGATTTGGTTAATAAAAATAGTTGTACGTGTTGAATTCGATTGAATTTTTGAACGATTTCTAAATACTTGAATAATAATAATTACAGCAGATGAAAAATTAATTATAAATGGTGTTAAAAAATGAAATATATTGATGAATCTATCATAGATTTTTAATTTTGACGAATATTTAACTATACACCATGTTCTTTCTTCATCTTCATCTAATAATTGACGTGATATTGGATCATGAATATAAGAAATAATTGTTAATAAGAATACAATTATTATAACATATTTAGCTGTTGATTTACTTTGGGATCTCCTAAAACGAACTCCTTGTATAGTAGTAAATGCTCTTTCAATAGCCACACATGCGTT